TTGCTTAAATGACGAAACTGGGGGAAAATATCTTGTCAACCCAGATACATTGTCCTGCATAGATCAAAGATGGGTCTGTGCTTTAAATTTTTCAAAAAAAAAAAAAATCAGCCTAGGTAAGAGAAAGGGACTTTGAAGTAACAAGGAAGTTGTCACTTCTTGTGTGAACTACAGGGATCAGATCAGAAATGCTGACCTTGAGAAAAGAAGCTAATAGTGCAGTTTCCAAAGCAGGAAATGATTTTTTAAATCTCTTTCCATGTAATGATATGTAGTCTGAGTTTGGGGACAGAAGTAGCCTAATCAAAATATGTTTCATTTCTGCCTAATCCAATAAATATTTACTGAGCATTTACTATGTAGTAGGCACTGGGCTAAACATAAAGATACCAAGATGAGTAAGAGTCAGTCCCCTTCTTCAAGACACCCGCCCTCAAGAGACACTGCTTATGGTGAAAATGCATGTGAGGTATTAGGATGACCGCAGCTTCAGAGCTGATAACTCTAGTTGCTGGTAACTCGAGGCTTGGGGTTCAAGATTGATTGGGGGTAACTTGGACATCCCACCAGCTTTGATCATTAGGTCAATCCAACAAAAGTTCCCTTGGGGCCGACCCTGGGCAAGAACGATGCAAAGGAGAGGGTAGAGATGAACGTCTTCCAGAGGTTCCCCTGCCGTTTCCAGATGAGAAGGAAAACTGGATGAGTAAATTCAATGAGAACACATTGCACTGGCAAGTAAACACTGCTGAATAATTGGTTCTCCCCAAGAGGAACTAGATAGACTTTTGAAATGCTTTGCAAAGATGACACTTTCAAACACACAGTAGGCTAAAACTCCAGAATGACAAAGTAGCTTTACCAAGCACTAGTCAGTGGCCTTCCTTCAGCAGGTTGGGCTGATTATGCAGAAGCAGATATTAACTGGTGAGCTGCTCTCTTTCTGTCACATTCAACCCTTTGTAGAGAGGTTTCAGGAGCCATCAGTTGATAATGTAATGGGCTTCTAAAGGAAAGCAAAGTACTGATACATCTGAATTCAAAATACAGATGCCAGTAAAAAGTCTAACCACCTGTAGACAAGAGTTGGAGCCAAAAGTTTATCACTGAAGGAAATGCTACATCATTCCAATGGTTCCACAGCTTTCCCAACCATCCCAGCCTGGATGGCTGTGACTGCACCTAAATTCTCAAAGGCCCCTGGGTTGTATCCCTGTGTCCCACATCGGGCAGCACAGTTTGGAGCTGTTCTCTGGTTGGATCACGGTCTTCCCGATCAGTTCGCGAGACCAGGACACTAGAGATCACATGTCCTCTCCCCACTGCCAGGGCTGCTTGCACAATATGGCCAAACACAGCCTGACAGGGGAAGCCTTATTATACTTGGACCAGGAGAACTGGGCTATGCCCAGTGTGACCACTGACTAGCTACTGACCTTGGAAAATTAACTTTTTTGTCTGGACGTTCGTATCCTCATGTATAAAGTAAAGAGGATGGGTTATACATTCTTTGAGGCCTGTAAGATTATGCGATTCCTAGGGAATACCAAATATCTCTCTCAGTTTCTCTCTCCACACACACACACACAAACACACATGTGGGCGCACACATACCACACCACCTCCCACCTCACTTCTCCTTTCTTAAATGAGTCAAACACACACCATCAAACACACACCTCTCCGGATGAGTGCTCTAAGACTGGCATTTGATTCTAACAATGTCAACAGGACATTGACCCCAGCTCCCTCAGAATACAAAACTGAGTACCACACACGACCAATTCTTTACCGTTTCCAGGACAGGATCCCACAGAGTTCTACAGTAACCTGTTTTCCCTCTGGGCCCATTTCACAGAAGAGGGTTCAATGCATCACATCACTAGCTAGTAAATCAGCTAGTACGTCGTCTCCCTCTGACAGAAGCCCCTGCCTCGCCCCCCCCACCTCCGAGGGGCACCAGGTACAGTTGAGCATCCTTCTTCTCCAAGTGGGAGGAGTGACTGAAGTTCAAAAAGAGAGAAGAGCAACAGGAAGAGACGGGGAAAGAGGGAGGGTGAGGAGAAGAGGGCGCTACATTGCTGATACTGGACAAAAGCCCTCCAGCCTTCATCCACCCTCAGCTCACAGCACCTCACACCTCCTAGGATGTGGAACCTGTGGGTTACTCTTCTGACCCTCTGCCCCTTCCCTGCCCTTCTCTGCTCCCTCCCCTCCCTAGGCTGCCCAAAAAGAATGTCCACTGCACTCTCTCTCCAGCTGTTTGATCCTTTTTAAAGTCTCTCACTTGTCTGTGGCATATGCTTCAAACGAAAAATAGACCTTGGGCATTCAGGATGGGAAGAGTATTAAATGGCAACAGGCAGCCTCGTGCCCAGGGCGTGGGCAGTCCCTGGATAGCTGTGATGACCAGATGGCCTGGATTTGCCCGGATGGTCCTAATTTAAAACATTCTAGCCTCTTGTCCTGATAAGTGCCTTCACACTTGTCAAACCATGTGTCCCTGTTTGGGGTTTGGAAAATATAGTTACCACATGGATACCTGATATCCCAGTGTCGAACAGGCCCAGTGTCAGCATCATGTGGGTGGAAAGAGGACAGACATTGGAGCCAGACAGATCTGGGGTCAACCAGCTCTGCCACTTACCGTGTGGCCTGAGGCAGCTTTTATTCTTTCTGAGCCTCAGTTTCTTCATCTAAAGAAGGGTGAGTTTCCCTAGAAGTCAGCCCCATGGATTTTGATTTAGAAAAACCACTGCTCCCAGGCACTTAATGTCTCCCAGATGTTTCTGCCTTTCTGTCTGTACTGTCATATTGTTCGGATTTTGGTTAAATCTGGTGTGTTACTATTTAAAGCATTAACCTAAATGCATGGTTCAGAGTGTCATCTTCAACGGCCATGATAACAGCAAGCAAAATATCCCAACAGATGTAAAACGCCCTTCTTCCTGCCTGCCCACCTAATCCAAATCCTCCCCAGCCCTCAAAAGTCCATTGCAGCCCACTCTCCACTGCCCCCTCACAGGTTCCCGGGGGCTGGTCCTGCCCAGCCCGCTCGGGGGGGATGGGGGATGGGGGTAGCCGTTCTCATCTAGATCACTGCTGGAGGTGCCAGCGGCCTTTGCCCCTGCGCTCACCCTCCTCTAATCCACTTGGCACAAGCCCAGCCCACGGACCTTCCTTGAGTCCCTCTCTCCACCTGGTACCCAGGGACCAAGGCAGACAGTGGAAGGTGGGTCTCCTGGGGAGCCAGCCAAGTGCCAGCACTGATCATGGCATCCCACTAACCCACTGTTGGTCTTAGTCTGGTCACTTGACCTTTTTTACCCTTGGTGCCCTCATCTGAAAACTAGGATTAGGTTTCCTATAACTGGTGCCTAGAAGAAGCATTTTCAAAGCCTTATTGTTGTCATGTCTTTCAACAAGCGTTTACACCTCCACTCCCAAACCTTCTTCATCTCCTATTTCCAGGATATGTTAAGCACAAACTCAGGATTAAAAACCCTCCAAATACCCAGCATTCAGAACCTTCCATAATCTGGCCACGCCCCAAGTTTCTCAAACTTATTTCCTGCCTGGCACACACTTTTGGTACCAGCCATGCCAGGCTCCTCATGCCTGCTCACCCCTTCCTCTGCACTTCCGCCCAAGCTGTTCCCTTCACCAGATGTGCCCTCCGCCCACCTAACCAAGGAGGGCTCTCCTTCTGGACTGAGTCACACCCTTTCTTCACTGCTATGACTGGATTGTGCTCCCCGCCTCCAAATTCATATGTTGACACTCTAATTCTCCTAATGTGGACTGTATTTGGAGATAGGGCCTTTAAGGAAGTAGTTAAGGTTAAATGAGGTTATAAGTGAAGGGCCCTAATCCAACAGCATAGTTGTCCTTTTAAAAAAAGACACCCCAAAATATTATACAATATCACTTATATCTGGAATCTAAAGAAATGATACAAGGCAGAAAGGGTGTAGTTCAGGGGTAGAGTGCATGCTTAGCATGCACAAGGTCCTGGGTTCAATCCCCAGTACTTCCATCAATAAATAAACCTAATTACCTCCCCCCCAAATTTAAAAAATAAAAATAAAAGACATTATTTAAATAAATAAATGATACAAATGAACTTATTTACAAAACACAAACAGACTTACAGACACAGAAAACAAACTTCTGGTTACCAAAGGGGAAGGATGGGGAGGGATAAATTAGGAGTATGAGATTAACAGATAATACATTACTTTATATTAAACAGATAAACAATAAGGCCCTATTGTATAGCACAGGGAGCTATATTCAGTATCTTGTAATAATCTATAATGGAAAAGAATCTGAAGAAGAATCTATATATGTATAACTCAATCACTTTGCTGTACACTAGAAACTAACACAACATTGTAAATCAACTATACTTCAATTAAAAAAAAAGACAGCTGAGAAAAACCTTATGAGAAAAGACTGCCCCACCCTGGCCCCGCCATGTGAGGACACAGTGAGAAGGTGGCCATCTGCAAGCCAGAAAGAGAGCTCTCAACAAAAACCAGCACCTTGACCTGGGACTTTCAAACTTTTAAAACTGTGAGAAAATCACTGTTTCTTGTTTAAGCTGCCCCTCCCCCTCACCGGTCTATGGCATTTTGCTATGGCTGCCCTGGTAGACAATACCCCCACCATCACCGCTCTCTCCTTCCTCGGAACCCTGTGTCATTGTCGCCTGCCCTCACATGATAGCACTAAATTTGTGACACTCTCTCTTGCTGAGTCAGTAATTTCCCCTGTGCGTGCCCATTCTGCGCCTCCACTGAGGAGAGAAGCTCTTTGCAGGTAGGAACATGCAGGTCTGTATCACCCACAGTCCCAGCATGAAGCATTGCACACAGCAGATGCTCAAGAGATGCCTATCTGGTTAAAAGTCATGCCCTGAGGGAGGAGGAAAAGTGGTCCTGAGAAGACAGGAGTCTGTCCAGTGTGGCAGTGGGACACCTTTGGATACACACACTTACCTACACCCAGACATTTGCTTCTCTATGTCCAGTCTCAACTCTGTCACCGCGGCCCCCGAAAGGACACTGGGAAAGGGGAAATACACAAAAATAAACAACAGATGGCCCACACTGAGATAACAAGGAGTTTCCCCAACCACCAGGCTAGCTAACAAAGAGATAGTTGTACCATATTGAAATAGTCCTTGAAAATACTAGTCATTTAGTATCGGCATATTTTATGTGTATGCTGATAAGAATTCACGTACTAAATATTTTAGCAATTTCATATAAATATATATGTACTTTTAATTGAGCTCCTGTTGTGTGCCATCCACTACACAAGTCACTTCAGACCCAATACCAATTGAACTTGTCTCCATCTTACAGGTGAGAAATCTGAGGCTTCAAGAGGTACATTGCATAACTTGCCCAGGTCACACAGCCAGTAAGTGAAATTGTGAGCCAGTGATAGATGGCATTGGAAAAGCATTCCTACACTAGTTCGTGCAGCCAACAAATAGAAGAGACACCATTAAGCAGAACTTCCAAACTACAGTTTGTGGCTAATATAGAAAGGAGGGAAACATAGTCCCCATCCTTAAGAAATCATAGAAGAAAGGAGAAGACATGTAGATCACAAACTGCAGGTGGCTGTAAATGCCAGAAGAAGGGACAGGAGTCAAGTATTTCAGGAGTGCAGGAGAGGGACCAGTTGTCCCCTGACCTTGGGCCCAGACATTGAAGGAGAAGCAGGAGATGGGTACGGACATTGAAAGATGCTGATGTAGCACTGGGATGCAGGGGAGGTTTCACTAACCAGGGCCCAAGGCTTGTAGGCAGTGCACCCCTAGGAAGACATGGTGAGGTGACAGGTGTAGGACCTCTAGCAGCGTAATGATGACTTTGGGCAAAGCTGCTGGGGTCCCAGCACACACGGTTACCCCTACCCTCCACATGTGAGTGCTCCACTCCCAACTTCTCTAAGGCAGGGAACTCAATTAGGGCACTTGGCTGCTGAGAAGGGCATGATGCCTAGGAAGGGAGTTTGGGGGGTGTGGCAGAAGGGGCCCCAGTCTTGGATTCTATAAGTAGTTTTGTTGCCACCCAGCAGGGTGAACTTGTCTAAGTCTCCCAGCGTGGCTGGACTTAGACAGCCTCGGCCTAGGAGATTTCTGAGTACCGCCTGGTTCCCATTTACACCAGGCGCTGCGCTGGAGTCGTGGGTGCACCGAGAGAGGAGGCATGAGCCCGCAGCATGGCTCAGAGCCTCTGGCCCTGAAGGAAGCTGTTTCTGATTTGGGGGACGCAGGTACAGCAGGGCCTCCAACTCAGAGCTCTGATCACTGAGCATGACTCCAGGGCGCCTAGTGGGGCACCGGGAAGGTGCTCAATGGACACCCCCTGTGGTGTCTCAAACCACAGCCCTCCTGGCCCTCATTCCCCACGCCCTGCGCTCAGACGACTGCTGGGCCTAACAGGGCCAGCCTAACTAAACCGAGAGAGACTAGATCTTACAGCCAGTATCTGAACGGCAAGAACAGGGCCCTGCTGGGCTGCCGGTGCGGCTGCAGTGGGCGGGCGGG